ATGTCTATAAGACGATTCTAACTACACATTGAAAAATCATCAAACGAGATCATAATTAACCATAAATTCACCATAAACAAAACTCTAAACCAATTATAACCTTGTTTGCTAGTTTTTCAAGGTGTGATTATAATCGTCTTGTCAAGATCTTTATAACAATACCGAGTGTATTGAAAATGAAGTCTCGATATGTCCTCGATGACCTATTCTTTTTTCCTTTTTTCTTTCCTTTTAATGTCATATCAACTCATCTCCTCTTTTTTTTCTTGGCCATTAGATCTTCATAGAATTTTAGGTTGACTTTTATATATGTTAATTAATTTAAAAGAGACATGAATATTGAAACAATCATTTTCCCAATAGCAGTTATGTTCAAACTATGCTATTTCTATAATACTTTTATAATTGATGTTATTTCTCAATAGCGTTTCTAAATATTGGTTTTGTACAAAACCATTTCTGGGTTTAATCATAACCTCAAATGCAGGTCTAATGCAAATTAATTAACATGTACAAAAATCCACCTGAAATTTTATGAAGATCCAATGACCAAAAAAAGATAAAAGATAATCTGAAGGGGGTAGAAGAGATAAATAGAAGAATAAATAACGAAAAGAAAGAATGGGTCACTAAGGACATACCAGGGCTTCGTTCTCGACATGCCCAATACTATTAAAGAGATATCGAAGAGACTATTCTAACCATACTTTGATAAACCACAAAACAAGATTATAATTGGTTAAGGATTTGTTTGGGGATAAATTAGGATAAATTATGACTTTATTTAGTGGTTTTTCAATATTTTGTTAGAATCATCTCGTTGAGATCTTTTGAATGATATTAGATATATCAAAAACAAAACCCTAATATGTCCTTGGTGACCCTTTCTTTCTTTCCCTTCCTTTTCTTCTCCATTTCTCTCTTTTACCATATCAACTTATATCCTTTTTGTCTTGGCCCTTGGATCTCGAATCTTATATTTAGACCATTAAATCTTCATAAAGTTTTGAGTTGATTTTTATACATGTTGATTAATTTGCATAAAACATGCATTTTGGCTTGTGACTAAACAAATGATATTCTTAATAATAGTTTTGTATAAAACCAATATTCAAAAATGTGATTGTATTATTTTATAAATACTTTTCTAACCTATGTCATTTTCATAATTTTTTTTCACCAAAATATGTTAAAATTGTACCTTTTTTCTCTTCTAATGTTTTTAATATTTTTAATACTTTTATTTATTTTAAAAATTCTTAGAAACCTTTTTTTGTTATTCATCAATTCACTTGTGGAATTTATTCAACTTGAAACCATGTTAAACATCCAATTTAATTTTAAGAAATGAAGGAAAATATAAATGTTTATCATTCATTATTAGTTTAATATTTATTTTTATTTTTATATTTTATTAAATTTTAAATGTTTATCATTCATTATTAGTTTAATATTTATATTTATTTTTATTTTTATATTTTATTAAATTTTAAAAGTAAAAATAAGAACTAAAGTAAACTCTATGATAAAGAAGAGAAAAAAAAAACTTAAATTAAGCATCCACTTAAGGGGTTATATGTGTGTATATGTCTACTCACAAAGCACAAAGAATATTTATCAGATTCGTTGATTTTCTAAGAAAATACTTATGATACTTCAAACTCATACCTTATCGAGCGTGTTAGTTCATTTTTAAATTCTGAAATGACTAAATAGGGTTTAGCCAATCTTAGTATTATAAAGTTGGCTTAAACAATTATAACTATACTTGATTTTAGGTGTGGTCCATTTTATGTAATACCTATATTTTCACAAATAAATTGTCTCATGTTAATTATTGTGAATGTTTCTTTATAATAATTGTTCTCTCTCTCTCTCTCTATATATATATATATAGTTAGTTAGTTAGTTTAATAATGTATACTATTAATAAGATATATTTGTAATTAAATTTAGTAAACTTTGATTATGACATCTTTTTTTTTGTTTAGATTATTTATGTGATTTATTAAAAAAAATGATTGTGTGTTCGTGTTGTTATTGGTTGGAAGTGTTTTTATTGTTGGTTCTCTTTTAAATTGCTTCTTTATATTTTCTAGATTCTTGTGTGTATATAATTATACTTACTTGAGAGGTTAAGCTTGCTAGGTGAGGGGGCGTTAACTTGGCTTCTAGGTTATTGATGGTCTATAAAACTACTTAGCTTAGTTTTTGTTTTTAATATTTGTCAAATTATTAAAAAAAATGCATTTAAACACCTAATCTTTTAGTTTACAACGAAAAGTTGGTAGAAAAACCCTGGAAACTGATTCAACAATATGGTCTCCTTTGCATTTACTTAAAGAGTGTAATCTAACTACTCATTATTTTTATTTGTAAATTTATTTGAAAAGCCATCTTTTTTATGGATAGATTATCAGGATGACGTTTTATTGAATTATAAATTAATATTCCTTCTTAAATTTTCAGTTGGCTATCGATGATGCCTTAGAGAGGGTTGCATATCTTATACATGCTATTAATATTAGTCTTTGGTAATGATATGTTAAACACTTGATTTATTCATTTGTGTCCTAACAATTACTACTATTATTTTTTTTTATAGATAAAAAAATAATATCTAACAATTCTCTTATTACAAATAAAAAAGTGTCAACATAGACCGGTATTGGAACAAGTATTGGAATTAACAAAGTGGTAACCTGTTCTTACATCAAGGCTAAGATAGAAAAGAAAAAACAAGTAAGTTTCATTTTAGAATATACCAACAAAAATTAATATTTTTAGTTTATTTCTGTATTTGGTTACATAGTAGTTTATTACTTTTTAAGGGTTTAAGTCTATATTAACAAGTTATCACATATTAAAAAGGATAAACTTTTAATAAAAAGATAATTATTACAATAAGTTAACTTGGATAAGGGAATGCTAGGTTTGTTCCTTCAAAGCTATAAAAAAGTTTAGACCTTTTGATTTTACGTGCAAATAGGAAATGATATAAATTATTTATTTCCAACAATTGCTTCTAATTAGTTTTATAGCATGATTTTCTTAAAATTTTGAATGTATAAAAAAAGTTGAAATTCTTGGTGTGAATATGAAAAATAGCTTATATTTCCTTTTAGATCTTATGGCTATGATGGAAGTAATCCCATGTTAACATACAAAGACTTTAAAAAAAAAGAACTTTATGGTATCTCTTCTATATATAATTGATGTATGTCGATAAATTTATCAATTTAGATAGCCATATAAAATTTCAATCATTATAAAAATTTATTATTTAGGTAGCCATACAACCCTCAAAGGAATAACTTGTATTTTGTGTAAAAAAATTATCAAATAAAAGACATTGAAAAATGCTCTAATATCTTTCAAAAAATACTTATGACAAAGTTATAAATTACTTATCATCTTTGTTCATATCTTTGTTAAAGTGTGTTTGTAATAGTTAAAGTAACAAATAACAATTGGTGCATATTAATGATATATTTGTGTTGAAAAAAGAGAGGACCAAATAGATCCAACAACCACAACATATTCTCAAGGTGCTAGATTAGTGATAAATGGTTGTATGAATGGTAGCTTTGATAGGGTAATAAATATTTTGACTAGTAGCTATGTCTTGATTCATTTTTTTTTTTGTTATATTTGTCTTTGTGGCCATGTTGTGTTTTTTTTAAATGAATTTGTTTTGCTTTAAATTAATTTTTTGATGTTTATGGATTGTTTTTTATGTGTTGGTGTGAAAAATAAATTTTAAAAAATAAAAAAAATATTATTTTAATATATTTTAAGTAAAATATACTTTAAAAAACAACTGTTACCATACAAATACTATCCATGTATCATCTATTACAAGCATTTATTGTTAAATGCTCCATGGAATGGATTTTTTTTTATTGTAGATGTGATATTGTAATTTGCTTGGAATCTTTTTTTTTTACATGTAATTTATATATATATTTTTAATCATATTAGGAGATATGTTTGTTTATGGTATCTATTTTTGAGTTGCCTAAATTGAAAATATTGTTTCCAAAGGTTGATGGGAAGAAACATCTCTTGGACTTTAGAACTTGTTTTCCCCCCGTTGTAAATCGTTATTGTAACTTACTTTAGATCTAGCCCTGCATGTAGTATAGAAAACAGATCTAATATTAATAGTAATTAAATTATATATCACAATTACTAATTATATTAATATCTATACAATTATTCTTCCATTTAATAGCCAAATAGAAGCTTGTAATTGCTAATAACAACTATAATATGTATTAATAGTAGTAATTAATATCATTTAATATCACCATGTTTAATTATAATTCTTTTTTATTTAAAAGTAAAAGGTATTTAGAAATAATTATTATTATATTTAACAAGGATATTTTTTTCCGCATAAGACATTAGGTGGTTCAAGCATCACATCTTACTATATTTGTTTTACTATTATTGTAAGGAAGACATGTGAATTATATTACGATGAACGCGAGGAAGTGACATTAGGAAGGGAAAGACAAAAGAGAGTAGGATGTCAGGCATCGTCTAGAGGGTAAAATGGGTGTCTGTAAATCTCTGTGTTTATAATTTTTTTTTATTCCAACAATAATTTTTTAATTATTAAATGAAATATAATGATTATTTTATAAATAACTCAATTTTTACATTGATTTTTTTTTTTGGCGCCACGTAAAGTTTTATTAACTTATAAATAGGATCTAAATTATGATTTAAAAAAAAACTAAGGTAAATAAAAAAAAAGAGAGCCTAAACTCTCGGTATTTTTTTTTAAAAGTAAAATAGAAGTACTGTTAACATGACACATGTCAAGTGTGTACAACATGGAAACAAACCACATCAGCATGAAACGTGTCAGGTAAAGAGACATGGCCTCCTATTAAATCCAATTTACTTTTATCCTATGGATTAATAGAAAACGCTGCGTTTCATGGTTGTCGACACCACGGCCCAAAGGCCGAAACTCTACTAAAAGCGGGAAAAGTTGGAACACCCTCCCACCCTCCCTCTCCACAATTTATAATTCATATCTCACAAACAAACCTAAGACAGAGGCATGGCGCCATTATTGCAGAGCTCACAGCCATGGGTGGAGAAATAGTAACTAAATAAAATATCTCTCTTCAATTCCTTCAATTATAGTGTTTGCGTTTCTGTTAAAACACTGATTTTTTATTTGTTATTCTGGGCAGTCGACCAAAGCAAGTAAAAGATGTAGCTCACCAAGATGAGGTTGTTCGCGTACTCACTAACACTCTCGAGACCGCAAATGTGAGCGAGATGAAGATTCTCACTATCTATTACCCCTTCAATTTTACTGTATATGTTTTTTTTTTTTTTTTTTCCAGTTGAAACCCTAGCTCTACCACCCTGCTGTTTTTTTCCCCTTTTGCAGTGCCCGCACATGCTTTTTTATGGCCCACCTGGTACCGGAAAAACCACCACTGCCCTGGCCATCGCCCACCAGCTCTACGGGTACTGCTAATTTTATAGCAATATTCTCTGTGTTTTTTTGTTGGAAAATGTTCTCTGCATTGATGATAATCTCTTACAGGCCTGAACTCTACAAGTCTAGGGTTCTGGAACTAAATGCAAGTGATGACCGTGGAATCAATGTTGTTCGTACTAAGATAAAGGATTTTGCTGCCGTGGCTGTAGGTTCTGGTCAGCGTCAAGGGTGCACACTCTTCTTCTTGCAATAACTTTTGTCTTCAACTTAGAACATGATTGCAACTTGCCCTTCACATTCACCTTTTATGTTTCCAATACTATAGGGTTTACCCTTGTCCACCTTATAAGATTATCATCCTAGACGAGGCAGATTCGATGACTGAAGATGCTCAGGCATGTTTCTTTCATCCCTTTATGATTGGTTATTTACAAAAATATTGTGATGCCATCTCACTTGGAATCTATGCTATACATTACAGAATGCCCTGAGGCGTACAATGGAAACTTACTCCAAAGTTACTAGATTCTTCTTCATATGTAATTACATTAGCAGGTGAGCCAATTCTACTCTGCTTAGTTTTCATACAACATGTCATTACACATAATTTGATGATTGTTGGGGATTCTGCCATTAGTAAGATTGTTACTGCACTCTGGCGGCACAATGTACTTGTGAAACATAGTTTTCTGATGTAAATGGCCTCTATCTTGCATCGGTTTTCCTAATAAAACGAGGAGTCATTGTATGGGTTCATCAATGGGGTGATGCTTATGTGCAGTGACGATTCCACTGCAAACTTCTTCTGTGAACTCTATGACCATTAGTCCTGATCTTTTATTTTATTGGATAGAAGAAAATATTATTGCATGATTTGCACTCATAATTCAGGTGATTGTGTTTTTTTGCAGGATCATAGAGCCACTTGCTTCAAGATGTGCAAAATTCAGGTTCAAGCAACTTCCAGAAGAAATCATGAGCAATCGTATATTGCACATTTGTAACGAAGAAGGCCTCACTGTGGACACAGAGGTATGCAAAGCTTGCCATGTTCATTCCTATTTTTTCAGTGGCTTGATTTCCTAGCAAAAACATGTAATGTACCACTGCAGGCTCTCTCAACCTTAAGCTCTGTCTCACAAGGTGATCTTCGCCGGGCTATCACATATTTGCAAGTAAGTGATGCTTTTTATCTCTTTTTCCTTTTTCCCGTTTCATGTCGTGACTATCATGCTTATATTCTGTACTCCATTATTTTTGTGTTTTGCTCATTGATTTAGTTAACCAGGATTTATGGTCTTGCTACTTGTACAAACTAAACTACAAATTCTTACTAGTCATTTTTCATTTCCTCCTGGTCCAGAAGGCATGAAGCAGACGATCCTTGAATCCTTATCACTCGCTGAGACATTCACATTAAAATATTGATTTCTTATGGCCTTTTTAATTCCATGAGATAGAACAGAGCATAATTTAGTGTTATTGAGTTTACCATTGCCTTTATGAATATTGCTTCAAATGAGTGACAGTTTTTTGACCTTCATCAAGCATGAAAACTTGTTTCACTAGATTTGTTGTTTTATTGTGCAAACATAATCTCAAAGTCTCTAGCTTTTGAGGATGAGGCCTGTTATGATTATATCAGGATCAGAAACATCTATCAGGTTCAGAAAGAAATATAACATATATTAGAATTTCTGATGTAACACAATCGAAGATGAGATTCTCGATAGACCTGCTCAGCCAAGCCCTTTCACGGAGAGTTCTTTCATAAAAAAGCTAGTACTATTAGCAAGCCTTTGGTGTTTGATATTTGAATGATCATCCTAGACTGGGGTCCAAATGTATGTTTTGCAATTTGTTGATCTTTTTTGAATTGAATTTGTACGAGAACAAATTGACGAGAGCTCCTTAGCATAAGAACATGAAATATCATAGATCCTAGTTTTGTGACCATTTGTTTTTCTGACTGTTTTGATCATTTTAGTTGAAAGTTCCATTTTGAAAGCAGACACTACCCAGTCATTAGCTTATGCATTGTCTTCTGTTCTAGTTTCCCATCTCTCAGTTATAGTTGAACTTCAGCATATGCTTATTGCAGGGAGCTGCTCGCCTATTTGGATCGTCAATTTCATCCAAAGACCTCATAAGTGTGTCAGGGGTAGGTTATATTAAAAACTTTTTGGGCCTTTTGTTTTGGAAATATATATTCTTGTTATGCATGGTATTCCTTTTGTTCCTGGATATTCATGGTGTTGTGTTTATCAGGCCATTCCACGAGAGGTTACTGAGGCAATTTATGCAGCATGCAAAAGTGGTGACTTTGATTTGGCCAACAAGGAAGTAAATTATGTAATTGCAGAAGGATATCCAGTCTCTCAGATGCTTGCTCAGGTTCTGTTTTTTCTATCCTTAACCAACTTTCATTGCCATTGTCAATTTTCAATTGACAGATAAATATGCTACTCATATGAGATTTCTTCCAGTTATTTGAGGTGGTGGTTGGAGTAGATGACATATCAGATGAGCAAAAGGCTCGCATATGCAAGAGTTTGGCTACAGCTGATAAGGTTATTTTCTCAGAAGCTCGTTTATTTTGTCGCACAAGATTAACTAATAATAACAAAAGCCGAAGAGTACTTGGCAAGAGTGTCTTATATTATAAACCAGTTAGGAACTTGGGTGGTCCAGTATTGCTGCTGATAGAAAATCATAATTTGCTCTTTTTTAGAAGAAAATGGTTATAATGCTGTATTCGAATAATTGACCTTGCTTTCACCCCTCCCATTTCACAACCATTGCTGATGATGCATATGAGAGAGAACCGCTGAAGTTTGTTTTTCCCCATTACTGGATCTCACTATTTTCACCTTTATATATATATATATATGTATATATATAAGGAGCTTCTTTGACCCATCAATGTCAATCAAGTGTCTCCAAATATTCTTGTTTCTATTTTTTCTCTCATTTCCGGGTATAGATTTTTGAAGGCACATGATATTATAGTGGCCCCTATTGAACATAATATTTATATTTTATGCCTTTCTGTATTTGCAGTGTCTTGTTGATGGTGCAGATGAGTATTTGCAGCTGCTGGATGTGGTTAGCAACACAATGCGAGCGCTTTGCAACATGCCACAAGAATTCTCTTATGATATTTAGCTAGCATTCAAGCTTGGATTGAGATGCAGCACATGGAGATCATGTATGGTATAATGCTCCACTTTTGGAAACTGTTCTGTAAAAGAACTTACAGAAGAGTTACCTACAAAATATTTATGCATGTGCTTTTCAATCGTTTTCTTCCTCCTAGTGGGATCGGTGGCTACTTAGAATACTTTCATGTATTTGAAGCCTAATTGATTGAAAGATTGAAACAAGTGGTTGCCAATTTTCTCTCTATTTTACATGCCCATTTTTCTTTTCAATGGGAGGGCCGATGCCTATGATTCTTTGGTTTAAGAGTTGTTAGTGGAAATACTGCTGAAAGCTGGGACAAAAAGGCGTTCTTATCAGTTATCCTTACCCCCACCTAAGTTTGAAGTTGATATGATTATAGGTCCTCGCGTATTTGAAAGCCCGTTCACGTTTGCATTATGATTTAGGAGCACAACTTACAAGTGGCAATTCTACCGTTGCAGGCTTGTCGGGCTGCCACACAGCCAGAGGCTTCATATGGTGCGTGATCATTTGTAATATTTGAAATTCTAAATGGTGCACAAGATCATTACAGTTACTTCCGGAGTCCAAATTCAATACAGCTCATGGTAGTAGCAGTTAATCTGCATTAGTCAAGGATGCCATGTTTTGTCCTGTGCGGCTTATTTGATATGACCTAGACTACTTCTGTTTAATTTTTAAAAGTAAATCTGCTGAAATGTCCATGATCTCATGCTAGGATTGCTCATACAACAAAAGCTAGAGGCGTGGAAGACAATATTATGTATTAAAAGTTTAATCTATAGTCTATACGTACCCGGATATCATACACGTGGCAGTTCATGGGCGATGGTATTTTCTCAAGTATATGTTCGGCTTCTCATGTCTTAATCTCTAAAGTTTGAATTTTTGCAACCTTGGTTTCTGTCCTATGTGATTACTTGAAATTTCTGTCTTTTGATATCGACGTGCATGGACCCATTAACCTCTATACTGGCCCCGCCACCCCGCTTCATGCCTTTAATCCCGCCGGGACCAAACCTTTTCTTCACCTGGCTATATATAAACCTATATTATCAACAATCTCTGAGGAACCCGGGAAGAGAGAATTGTGTCATTTTTGTTTCTGTGCTTGCTTTCTTCGCTCTCAGTTTGGTTAGTTAATTTTCAGCTGAGATGGCAGTAGAAATAGACGATTCTTTCAAAAAGCCTGGAGCTGTCCCATTTAAATGGGAGATCCGACCTGGTGTCCCTAAGATCCAACGACAGCAGAAACAGCAAAAGAAAGAACTATCACCCCCAACATTGCCATCACCATCACCACCTTTCAATCACAGGCGTCCATCACCGACCCCTCAAGTACAAAAGCAAAAGCTTAAGCCTCCACCAGCTAGATCCGTTTTTCTCCCTCCACCAGAGCCCCGTGCCCACTCATTTCGATCTGCTCCACGTAGCCGCTCTGGGGGTTGGCGGTTCGAGCAACCCACTCATGTCCGATCTGAATGTGTTTCACCTGGGTGCTTCCCATCACCTCTATTAAGGAGAAAAGACAGCAAGAGGAGGACCAGCGCCGGCATAGCTAAACCTGCATCCGAACCTGATTATACCTCCGACCTTGACACGCTGTCTCGGTGGTCCATTTCAAGTAGGAAGTCGCTGTCGTCATTTCGTGATTCACCAGCGTCCTCATTTTCATCGTATCAGTCATCACCTCGACCTGTGAGTGATGCTCAGTGGGCTGGGTTTGGACTTTTTTGAAGGAACATATACATGTTGTTTCTTCGGAAAGTTTACCAAGTCGATAAGTTTTGATTGCTTTACAGTTATGTACCAGTACTATGCCACATGTGTTGTCACTTTGTTGGATCTACAGCCCAAGATGACCTGTGGATATTTATTGTTCTCCTCCCATGGAGTTTCGGAGTTTTGTTTTCCAAGAGGACTATCGAGTTGCACGTAGAAATCAAAGCTCGTTCCAAAATCTCAGTCAATGTCGTTATGTAAACGCCAATGTCTTGTTTTTCTATAGATAATAAGGCAATTCACTGAAGAACAAAGGTTTTTATCAAGTGCTCGTTGCTCTTTCTAGTCGTTGTTCTGGTCTATATGCATGCGGACATGATTGATAATTTGATGCCTGAAACTCCAGACATCTGCCTGCCAATTGCGTATAACCTTCTCCCGGCATGCCTTTGCTTGATCATATTGACAAATCAGAACAATTTTGTCTGTCTTCGTAATTTCTGATTCTTTCAGCCAACACTCAATTTATTGATATTTTTATCAATCAAAATGTATAAACTGTGTTTTAAATAAATATCTAATGTCAATATAAGCTGCAACCAATCTGTGTTCTATGACCATGAAATTTCAATAAAATTACGCCTCTATGACAAAAATAAAATGTTGGCTGAGCTCATTGCAATTACAAAATATATTAAAAACGGTTGGCTAACATAACATGCTGTAGCAATTCAAAGTAGCTGATTTCTTTTCTGTTTTCATCCTCAATTATTATTATTTTTTTTTTTAAATTTAGCCTTCCATGCCTAATTTCATGACCAATTTGTTAAGAAAAGAAAAAAAAGTCAACAATTGAGAATCATAGTATAAAACACTAAGAAAACCCATGACCAATCTCAAACTCCAGGGAAATGTTCTTTTTCTTCCTCATACACATATCCTATAGTTTTTTCAATTTCAATTTTGATTTAAAAGTTCAGTTTGTTAACTCTATGAAAGTCATTATTATTGGCGTTAATAGTTTTATTGGACAAGAAAAGCTTGAGGGTGATAAACTTTTTTATCTATTTTAATTTTTTTGATTTAATTGCCTTTTATTTTTTTGGGTGATTTTGGGTCCCTAGATGATTTAGAAAAGCTTTCATGATGTTTATTGGTTTTTTTTTTTCTGCATAAAAATTAGTTGAAAATCTACAAATCCCATCCTTTGAATTTTTAGTCACTACTGTGGCAATTGAATTTTGGATTAGCATCTAGGACACACCATTTATTTCTCTTCTTTTTTTTTTCTTTTTTATTAAAAAAAATAAACAACGAAAATAAATAAATAAATATGGTCCATGCACGAGGGCTTGCCTTAAGCCCACAAGCTTGTGCTTTTTTAAGATCGAAACATGTCGGGCTACTTAAGTTTGTGCATATAGCCTAACCTATTTATCTTTATCTTTCTCTCTCTCTCTCTCTCAACCTGAATCTTTATTTATTGACTTATATTTTTTAATTTTATTTTTTAATATTAATTTTATTTTTTTATTCACTTGTATTTTTTTAATTTTTATTATTCAATATTTGATTATTTTATGATTTTTCTTTGTGACTTTTTATAATATAATTAAATAAAAAAAAATTATTAAACCTAGTGGAGTACATAACTTAGGTTATGAAATTAACAGGTTAACTTGGATTAATCCAACATATCTATGTCTTAATTTTGAAAAAAAAATATCATTTTAAGTATTTTTTTATAGCCAAACCATAATTTTACAGATTGTCTAGGTTGCTTTGAGACTCATGTGCTTGGGTTTTTTAGGGTTATTTGAGTTTTTTTCCTTTGATTTTTTTATCTTAAAATCTGCCAAGTCAATTAAATTATATTAACTTTCATATGATTTAATTGGAAACTTAAACTAGATAAAGAGTTTAGTCAAGAGTCTTTAAATTTGACCAAATTGATCAAGTTTAATGATAATAAAAAAAAATCTCTTTAAGACTTGGACATTCTTTCTTTACATTCAGTTTTTTTTATTCAACATGTAGCATAACACGAGAAGTAACCTAGTTATCAAAAAAATTAAAAGGCAACGGTCTTTCATTATATCTTGTGAGGAGAAATATTATTCATTCAAATAATATTTTTATTTTTTTCCCTCATATTTTTTATGTTTATGTCCCTTAATTTTTTTCTTCTTATTTGATTATTTAACATTGCTTTGATTTGTGATTAATCTTGGTGACTTGTTTTCATACCTATATATAGGGATCTTGAGATATTGGGGAAATATTTTGAGATATTGGAAAAATATTTTGTTGCTCAATCAATGCTTGGTTTAGCAAAATAAAATTCAATATCATTCATTTAAAATAATTAGATTTTCAAAGATAAAATTTGAAACTTCAAGAAATGTTCCTTCCCTTTTGTTTTTTTTCCAATGTCAATGACATACGTGCATGCTTAGGCAGGAGTTTATCTCTTTTTTAATTTGATCCCTTAATTTAATTTTTTTTAAAAATTTGATCGCTTCACATTATCCTTATTTAGGATCTGACTAGGTAGTATGTTTTGGCTTCCTTGATATGGGGCTTTGGTATTATTGATGAAAATTTTTTATTCTTGGTTTTGCAAAATAAAACATAATTTGGCTAATTTAGAAAAATTAAGTATTGAAGGACTAAAATTAAAATTAAAACAGATACAGGGATTGAGGTAAATGGGCAGGACAAAAGAAGCTCACCAAGTTTAGGTGGCGCGCGCTACTTCCCTATAATTGTTACGTTTACCTGTGGCTTTGGAAGCAGCACAATAAGCTCTTTTTGTTGTTCCTGATGTTGTCACCTATAATTGCTTGATGAATGGGTGTTGTAAGGCTAATAGGATTGAGAGGACTTTTGAGCTTTTTGAGGATATGAATAAGAGGGGTTATGTGCCGAACCAAGTTGCATATAATTCTTTCAATAGGTATTTTAGAGCTGTGAATGAGATAGATAAGACAGTTGCGATGTTGTGAGGAGGATGCAGAAGATGAATCATGGTTTGACATCTAAGAGTTCTTATGCTTCGATTATTCATGCTTTGTGTGCAGAAGATGTTAAAGAACTATCTTTTTTAAAAGTTTAAGCTGTTAGGTGAAGTCGCAGGATATGATTTATATTATTTTCTAACACACTTCCTCAAATGAAAACCCTTTGGACTTGAAACTTGAACATGTCTATATTACCCTATGCTTTAATTTTTATCAAATAAATAGGGATGACGATATTCGAACTCGTAATCGCTTGGTCATCAAAGCTCTAATACCATATTAAATAACTATCTCATCTAAAATTTTAAGTTTTTATATGAGATAGTTCTTTGATAACAGAAAGGGTATTAGAGGTTCGAGATTTTCTTGTTGAGTTGGTTGAAACCTAGAGAGTGTACATATAGTTTGGTTTGTGATGCGTTGGAGTGTGGGAGAGGGCCATTCACTGGGTGATGAATTTGATAAGATAATTAAAGATGGTATAGGGGGTAGATATAGGGAAATGAAGAACGCGAAACCAATTATGGCACGTAAGATAATGCTGAAGCATATGGGAGTTCCTACTTCAGATCTAGATACTGGCTACTTGCTATGTTACATGGAGCTTTTTACCAATTTCTGGTGTATCATCTGTGTCTGGGAGATTTTCTGTTATTTAAGGTCCCTGGCACTCATGTACAAAAGCATTGGATTGAAGCACTTCAACATGAATTAGAGGGCGTTGCACACAGGGGAGCTAAAGTTACCTCGAGACAACTTCATGCAACAAGCAGGAAGGAATATGATACCTCGGTCGCACTGCTGGTGAGACGCACTACACTGAATTACAAGCTCTTTCAGTATCTTCAGGTGCAAGTGGTTAGGTTATCTTCAACAGTATTGAAATGAAAATCGATTTATATCCTTTTCTTCTTTCAACAGGTTTGCTGCAGTACTAACTATGGGCCTCCACAACAGAGCAGAACCAATATCCAGGTGCATTATCCAATCTTTCTCAAAAAATTTCTGCCAAGCTGACAAGGCAATCATTATGTTGCTCTCTTTAGTATTCATGTTTCTCTTGAACGTAAAATGGGCTCGCTTTGTGTTTTGAGAACCGTCCATAGTTTTAGGGCCAGCACAGCTTTGAAGCGTGAATCCTTTCCCTTTTATCATGCCTGAAAACTGAGCCAGAAAGGTTCTGTTAGAGCATGGCAGCTTTGTTTTGTTTTGAAGAAGTATTTTACGCAAGAGGAGTGGTCGAGAAAAGAAATTTCCTCTGCTATTATATGTGCTCGATAATTTTTTATTTGTGTTGAAGAGACAAGTATTCGTTCCTCTGCCCTCATTATCTGCTTACTGCTTGCAACGGACATTTCCAACAGGACAACGGAACATCAATAAATAAAAGAAAATGCGTATTGACACTGTAAAAGGAACAATAATTTTTTGACATTGTTATGTGTTGTTTCTTTTTTAATTCCTTTGTAGGCAAATTTGGATTTTATTAACTCGCTGTTTGTCATTTAAATTCTCCCTCACTCAAACAAAACAAAACAGAAGAAGAAATATGAGGAATCTTTGCAAGATATTTAATACTCTTTTCTGGAATCTCTGAAAAAAATTGGATAATTCGAACATTATATGTATAAAGCCAAAACATCATCCTAATAAAAATAAATGTTAACATGCGTTGAAGTTGAGTTTTTTATAGGTTAAACTAAATTAATTAATTTTTTATTTTCTTAAAGCTAAATAAATCTAGGCTCTAGGTCAACTTGACTAAATACTAGATTGACTAGCTAAGTTAGTTTGGATTTTATAATTAAAGTTATTATACTATTATTAAATTTAATATTTAATATAAATTAAAGTAAAAAAATTCTAATTTTTTTTAAAGGTAAGTATGACAATAATATATATTAAAAATAAAAATAAATCAAATAACATATAAATATAATCATTCTATCTTATATATTAATACAAAAAATAATTCTATTTTTATCTTATTAAAAATATACTAAAAGGCAGGAAAAGCACCATGGTTTTCCCATGCCTTTTAATAATATTTATATAATAATAATAACAATATAATAATAATAATAATAATTATTATTATTATTATTATAACGATAATTATATTATTATATTATATTTTAATATTTTTTCCTTATTTTTTGTTTTTTTTGTTTTTTTATGCTTTTATGAGTTTTTTTTTTGCTTTTTTTTTAATAATTTTTTTTGTTTAGTTAACAATATACTAAAAGATGTGGAGAAAGCACGGTAGCTTCCCCACGTGTTTTAATAATATTTATATATAATAATTA